CTATAAATTAATAAAATGTATTGAAAAGGATTTCTTTGTGTCTTTTTAACTAGTAGCTCGAACCACGGGTAGTCAAATAACTCGATTATTGTTTTGAAAAGAAATCGATTAGCAGAAACCAGTAGTCGTGCAAGCGCTAATATATATATATATATATATATATATATATATATATATATATATATATATATATATATATATATATACATACACAAACACACACACACACACACACACACACACACACACACACACACACAGTGAAAATCAGAATTCCCACCCCCTTAAAATCTGATTTGTTTTATTTTGGATAGTAAAAAGTTTTTAATTTTTAAAAAAACATTTAAGGTAACTCCTTTGAGCTATATTTTTTTTCGATAATCAACAGCAGGGCTATTCAAGTAGTTTGTCATGGGGGCCGGTTCATGAAAAGCATCCCAAACAAAGGGCCAGAGAGATATGACCATAGATGGAAAGAGTAATAAAATCTTCTGCTCAAGTAAAAGTACTGTTACATGTCTATAAATGTACTCAAGTAAAAGTATTAAATAACTCATTAAAAATTTACTTATGAGTAAAGAGTCACTTCCTCAAAAGGGAAAAGACGATATAAATCTCCAATTAGTTGTTTTTATTTGTATAAGTAGCTTTAAAATTTAAAGACCAATAACAAAAAATGATATATTATTTAAAATATTTTACAGATTATCCTATTTAACAAATTATAGAAATTCACAAATTCTAATGCAACATTGCATGTTAGCTAAATGGGCTATATGCACACGGCCTTTTAGTTTTCAGCCAGGCAGCCCAATCCCTTCCGATGACATCTTTCCATTTCAAAATGGTCTATATTATTTATTACATTTCTACCCCCACCCCAACCCTTAACCCAACCGTCACAGGAATGTAGAAACTGCAGTTGTGTTGACTATTATTTATGCTATCTATTAAATTACCCAATAAATTATATTTTTTCAAGTCTACCCCCACCCCAACTCTAAACCCAACTGTCACAGTACTGTAAAAATATTAATTCTTGTTATACATTTGTTCATTCATTTTCAGCTTAGTCCCTTTAGAAATCTGGGGTCGTCACAGCGGAATGAACCGCTAACTTATCCAGCATATGTTTTTTGCAGTGGATGCCCTTCAGAATCAGAACAGAATCAGAAAGAGCTTTATTGCCAGGTATGTTTGCATATACTAGGAATTTGTTTTTGTGACAGAGCTTCTACAGTGCAACAGAATTACAGAGACAGGACAATAAACATAATAAATATATAAAAAAGCAGTAAAAAGTGATTGCAAAATATACAAATAGACAAGTGTATGTAGAGCTATATTACTAAATACAATGTTATATGTGCAGCTGTTATGTGCAAATTGGCATGTATAGTTTTTTGTTAAATAAGTGTATATGTGTATAAAAGTGTATGGCAAGTAGTGATGTTTGTTCCACAATTATTATTATCAAGTGTTCATAAGATGGATTGCCTGAGGGAAGAAACTGTTTCTAGTGCGCAGTGCTCTGTAGCGTCGACCAGACGGTAACAGTTCAAAGAGGAAGTGTGCTGGGTGTGAGGGGTCTAGCGTGATTTTGGCAGCCCTTCTGCTCGCTCTGGATAAGGACAGTTCTTGGATAGTAGGGAGGGTTGTACAGATGATTCGCTCAGCAGTCCGAAATATTCAACGTAGTCTTCGGAGGTCGGATTTGGAAGCTGAGCTAAACCAGACAGTTATTGATGTGCAGATGACTGATTCAATGATTGAGGTAGAACTGTTTCAGCAGCTCCTTTGGGAGGTTGAACTTTCTCAGCTGACAAAGAAAGTACATCCTCTGTTGAGCTTTTTTAATAATGGAGTCAATGTGAGTGTCCCACTTCAGGTCCTGAGAGATGGTGGTGCCCAAGAACCTGAATGACTCCACTGCTGCCACAATGCTGTCCATGATGCTCAGTGGGGGGAGAGCAGGGGGGTTTCTACTGAAGTCCACTATCATCTCCACTGATTTGAGTGTGTTGAGCTCCAGGTTGTTGTGACTGCACCAGACAACTCCTTAACCTCCTGTCTGTAAGCAGTTAGTGATGGTGTGAAGAGCAGTTCAGAGTGGGTGTAGGAGGTTTTCTCAAACTGGCAGTAAAACTCATTCAGGTCATTTGCATGTCGTTCATTGTCTACAATGCTGGGGGAGGGTGTCCTGTAGTTTGTGATGCTTTTTTAAACTTTTCTACATGGATGCTGAGTCGCTTGAAGAGAACTGACTCCTTAGTCTCTCAGAATAGTTCCTTTTTGCGACTCTGATCTCCTTTTGCAGTGTTTATTTGGCCTGCTTATACAAGGTCCTCTCCCCATTCCTGTAAGCAACCTCCTTGGCTTGACGTAGCTGTCTGAGTTTTACAGTGAACCATGGTTTGTCATTGTTGTATGCGAGTTGAGTCCTGGTAGGAATGCACACGTCTTCACAGAAACTGATATAAGATATTACAGTCTCTGTGAGCTCATACAGATCGTTTGCAGCAGCTTCAAAAAGACTCCAGTCAGTGAGTTCGAAACAGGCTTGTAGATCCCGTTAGTCCATTTTCACAGATCTTAATACAGGTTTGGCTATTTTCAGTGTCTGCCTGTAGGTTGGTATGAGATGAATCAAACAATGGTCAGAGTGACCCAAAGCTGCTCGTTGGACTGAGCAGTATGCATCCTTTATTGTAGTATAACAGTGATCCAGTATGTTACTGTCTCTTGTGGGACATGTAACATGCTGTCTGTATTTTGGCAGTTCACGGGATAGTTTTGCTTTGTTAAAATCCCCGAGAATGATTAAAACAGAGTTCGGGTGTTGTTGGTCTATCACCGTGATCTGATCAGCTAGTTTCTGAATGTAAACACTGATGAGGATGAACGAGCAGAACTCACGCGGGGAGTAGAAAGGCTTACAGTTAATAAACAGTGCTTAGAGATCTGGACAGCACATCTTCTTTAAAACTGTTACATCTGTACACCACCTTTCAAGGGAGATTTTAATTCCAGCTGCAACCCATCACTGGGAAACCCATACACACTCATTCACACACATACACTACGGACAATTTTCAGTGTACCCAATTGACCTGTACCGCATGTCTTTGGACTGTGGGGGAAACCGGAGCATCTGGAGGAAACCCACGCTAACGCAAGGAGAACATGCAAACTTCACACAGAAACGCCAACTGACCCAGCTGAGACTCGACTCAGCGACCTTCTTGCTGTGAGGTGACAGCACTACCTACTGTGCCAGCGCGTCACCTATTGTTTAAAAGTGTCATAAAAATGCTGCTATGTTGATGTGCATACCGCACATCCGGTCGGCTGCTTATCAGATCTAGACTTTACCCAGTATTTTCAAAGGAATTTCTGTGCTAGCCTGTTGCTACTGATGGCGCTAGTAGTTACACCATCGTTCATCTAATTTTACGCTTGAACAACTAAATGAATGCTTAAGTCTATTTAACTGAATATTTTGTAATTATCTTACAACATCAATGCTGTTAAAACGACCTTGTGAAATAGAAAATAGTCACATTAAGCTAAAACCAGAAGTTTCTCGTTGGCTTGAAAACTCTGCATAGAGCCTATTGTGCATAAATAATTTTGCTCCAAATCCCTGTTAATGTCTAATCTTTGTGCTAACGAATGTAAGCAATGTTACGAACACAGTTGGGCAAGCTACTTCCAAAATGTAATACATTATTAAAGTTACTGTCCTTATTTTATGTATTTGTTTATTTGTAATTGGTTACATTACACTATTAATATCTCAGAAATGCATTACACTACTTTTGTATAACTTTTAAGTTACTTTAATTAAAATAAGCACAGAAGTATGACTCTTATGAATTAAAGTAAGAATTTTCAAAAGTACGTCAATGTTTTCAAATACATTTTGCTATTAATTATAATCATTCTGATAATTTTGTTTGCACAAGAAGTCTGATAACAGCCAGTGCTCCACACAGTGATCTGATCATTTGACACATTTTCTTTTAAATTTATATTCATAGCAATTCATCTTTTACACACACACACACACACACGCACACACACACACACACACACATATATATATATATATATATATATATATATATATATATATATATATATATAATAAAAAACACATTTCTGCACACAGGATAAACAGTAAAAAGGAATATTAATCTGGTGTTTCGTTTTCCTGAATAAAAGGAATAACCAAATGAACGAATGATACACAGACTGGGGAATGGATCTTTCAGTGTTTCTTTAATGTTTCATTGTTTATTTATAACATTGTGAATCAAGGATTTTGAGTGTATATTGAAACAAATAATGATATTAAAATGTATCTTTAATGTTGGAATTTCATTATATCAGTGCACGAAGATATGAATAAGTGAATTATGATAATTAAAATGTTATTTTTCTATCTAATGGATATAATGCTTTTACAGGTGGAGGAAATATTTATTGTGCTGTTAGTATTGAAATAAAAATTAGATGTTTTTAACTATTGACCAGTCATCTAATTAATGATGTAATAAGCTTCACTGTGGAATAAGAGGGTGGAGTGAGAAGATCGCGTCAAGCACTGAGGAAGGCATTGTGCTGAAACATATGTTTTTTTATCTTCTAAGAATGTAAAATAAACATACAATGTATTTATTTAATAAGTGTAAATCATGACCTTCTGAAGGATAAATTGTAACCTGACAAAAATATTTAATGCTGAACTCAAGAACTATCAACGAATTTTTATTTTTTAAGATAGAGAATAAGTTGGTACACTATTTATAACTGGCAGCTACCAGGCTTTAAAATCCAATAGCTTAGGTTTATAGACTGCATGCTGTACAATAAAATCATAAAAGGCCCCCGGTGTTCACTACAAGGTTAAATTCCATTTATTGGTTCAACATATCTGCCAGTACACTCTAGGTTATTTGTCACTACATGTAGCTAAGAGCCTTGATTTGGGTTGATGATTTCTGTTGACTTTTGTCAAAACTCTCGACTTCTATATTAAATCTATATTTCACAAGTAAAACGGCAAGACAAGCAATCTATATCGCTTGGAATGTGCACTATGGACAGCAGAACATAGACTGATCTCTAGCCACCTTGGAAATACCTTAGAAAGATCAAGAAAAATGCAAAATATTCTGCAAATATTTGCACTTTTATTGGGTTTTTTGGGTTGTGGGTCTGCTGTATTATCATTATATAATCACTATTGGAAAGTGTCTACAGATGATGATAGTGTCATTATCACCTCCAACATCTTTGAGAACCTCTGGATGTCCTGTGCAGATGACTCTTCTGGCACTTTCAGTTGTCGGGATTTTCAGTCCTTGCTTGCTTTACCAGGTAAAACAACATCTATTACATTGGAAGTAACAATATAGATAAGAAAAGGTTCACACTTTAAAATAAAGATCCATTGGTTAATGTTAGTTTATGTATTTACTAACATTATCTAAGGATGACTTATAGAATTTTTAATGGTAATTTACATTATTAAAATACAAAATTGTGTTTAATTAGTTAATGTACTTTGAGTTAACATGAACTAACTATCTGTAACTACATTAACTAATGTTAACAATGTTTAATACATGCTGTAAGAAATGTATTGGTAATTGTTAATTTATGTTAGTAAATAACTAATTGAAATACCAATTACCCAATGGAGACTTATTGTAAAGTGTTACCAGAAAAAGTATAAAAATTCTTATGAGGTATTATGTTTGGTACAGCTGAGTAATATTGCTTTTATACGGTTCTATAAACATGTAAATAATATAATCTTCAAATCAGAGTGATACAGTAACAAAACAATGAGAACCATTATATTTACAATTCTAAAGTGTAAATATAATGAATTTAATGAAATTAATAAAAAAAAACATGATTTTACATAGATTATAATAGAAGTCAGTATTTTATATGGCTGATCAAACGAATTGTCCACAACAGCCAAATATAAACTTAAAATAAAAAACATCTTTGTTAGCACAGTAACAACTTTGTTTAAAACAATAAATTGCAAGCATATAAATACAAGATATTTCACTACAATAAAGACATCAAGACTTAAACAGTTTTCAGAAAAAAATGAGGAAAGACATAGTTTAAGACATTAGGGTCTTGCAATATATGCAAAATTTTATGCTGAGCCTGAAATCGCATACTTCCATACTATATAGTATGCTAATAACACTATGCGAGCGAAGTAGTATGTCCAAATTCATAGAATTCAAAAAACATTGCCAACAACACCTTTATCAGTACAGAAACAAGGGGGTAGGGGTCAAAGGGGTTAGGAAGAGGTAGAAACTGTGTCTAATCCTAATTATCCTAAGAGTGGGAGAGGAAGTAAAAGAAAAGAAAAAAAATATTTTTAATACTTATTTGTAATTTCTCCTTTTGTTCAATTTGATCCTTTTTCTGTTTCATTTTTATTTTCATCTCTTTTCATCCCCAGTTGCCTTTGACAGCTATATGTTCTTGTGAACAAGCTTGTACTAGAGTGAGTTACATGTGAAGCAAGACCCCGACCAGTACAGCAGCATAATAAATTATAACAATTATTTGAATTTTAAAATAAAGGAGGCACAAAAAGGATATCACATTCTTACACATACAAAAAAAAAAAAAAAAAAACTGAAAAATTACATGTACATAAGTATTCACAGCCTTTGCCATTATTAAGCTCTAAATTGAGCTCAGGTACATTTCTTTCCATTGATCATTCTCGAGATGCTTCAGTAGTTTAATTGGAGTTTACTTGTGATAAATTTGGTTGATTGGACATGATTCAAAAAGGTCTGCACTATTTCGGGTTGACCGTGCATGCCAAGGCACAAACCAGGCATGAAGACAAAAGAATTGTCTCAAAGTACAAGGCTGGGAAAGGTTACAAAGAAATTTCTGCTGGTCTGAAAATTCCAATGAGCACAGTGGCCTCCATCATCCAAAAGTGGAAGATGTTTGGAGCCACCAGGACTCTTCCTAGAGCTGATTGGCCATTAAACATGAGTGATCAGGGGAGAAAGGACCTTAGTCAGGGAGGTGATCACTAACCCAATGGTCACTCTGTCTGAGCTCCAGCTCTTCTTCTCTGGAGAGAGGAGAACCTTACAGAAGGACAACTATCTGTGCAGCAATCCACCAATCAGGCCTTTATGGTAGAGTGGGCAGACGAATGCCACTCCCAGCCTGGAATTTGCCAAAAGCCATCTGAAGGACTCTCTGACCATAAGAAACAAAATTCTCTGGTCTGATGAGCGTAAAATGGAACCCTGAGTGATTGCCAGGCGTTGCGGTTGGAGAAAACTAGGCACCGCTTAACACCAGGCTAATACCGTCCTTACAGTGAAGCATGGTGGTGGCAGCATCATGCTGTGGGAATGTTTTTCAACAGCAGGAATTGGAAGGTCTACTGTAGTCAGGATAGAGGGAATGATGCAATGTACAGAGACTTCCTGAACGAAAACCTGCTTCAGAGTGCTCTTGACCTCAGAATGGGTAGACGGATCATCTTCGAGCAGGACAATGACCCAAAGCACACCACCAAAATATCTTTAGAGTGGCTTTACAACAAATCGGTGAATGTCCACTTGGTGAGTGGCCCAGTCAGACCCCAGACTTAAATAATATTGAACACCTCTGGAGAGATCTGGAAACAGCTGTACATTGTTGCTTCCCATCCAAAATGATAGAGCTTCAGTGGTACTGCAAAGAGGAATGGGCAAAAATTCCCAAAGACAGGTGTGCCAAGCTTGTGGCATCATATTCAAAAAGACTTGAGGCTGTAATTGCTGCCAAAGGTCCATCAACAAAGAATTTAGCAAAGGCTGTGAATACTATGTACATGTGATTTTGCAGTTTTTTTTTATTTTTTTTTTATAAATTTGCAACTGATTCAAAAATTATTTTTTTACATTGTCATTATGGGGTAGAACTTACAATTGTGTGTAGAATTTAATAAAATAAATTAATTTAATAAATTTTAGAATAAGAATGCAACATAAACAAATGTATTGTGTAACAGAAATTAGCTAATTTTATTAATATTAATAGACAACAATAATGGTTTATTCTTAATTAATAATATTCTGGCTTAAGCTTCAGTCAATTAGGTCAAAAAAACATATGATTGTATATGATCCTGCCTGCGCGACCGAGCAGACTCTTAGATTATGAATATTAATTATCAACAATAACGACTTATTATTAATTATTAATATTCTGGATCAATTTATTGTTAATTTGCCCAAACAAACAACTCGAGCTGACATGGTAATGAACTATTCATTTAGAAAAGGGAATTGTTGCTACTTTTTGTAAAGTAAATTAATCATTTATAAGTTTTAATCAACTTATAACAGCTAGGCAGGGGAATCTGTCTTTCAGTGACATTTCCTTGTGAGGCAAACAATACAATTTATTTGATTATAATGGGATTTATTGACTAGTCAGACAGAGATATCGAACAAACGCATGAACATACATTAAACATAGAACAAAGGTAAACCACGTAGAGATATCGGGTCTATACGGGTCTATGAAACATGTACAAACAGAGAGAGATAGCAAAGCGCGGAGATATAGATTTCAGAAAAAGAGTGGCAAAATCTGGTTTCAGTTCCTCACACACAATTAAGGATCACCAAGATTATAAAAAACACATTTTTAATAAAAGGGGCACAGCTTATTCGCATAACTAAAAATACCTGGACTTTAATGTCTGGGGTCTCTCACCTCTCATGCGAGTCTCTCTTCCGTCGGGATGAAAACTCCTTTGATGTCCTTCTTGATGCGTTGAGTTTGTAATACAGTTCGGACGAACACGATCGCAAACTTTAACTGATATTACTTTGCCGGAAAGAAAAGAAAACGTGGCGGGAAAATACCATGCGGCTTAGAAGAGCCGCTGGCCCCTCCAAGGGGACACCTTTGGTGAGTTCTTTGTCCGGACTTCTCTACAGATGTTGGGGGTCAGCCCGGTTATACCTGCGGGTCACGTGACAACCCGTTCAGCATTCTTGAGCATTCATACTCTGCGCATCATGTGTTGTAAAATGTCAAGAGCATTCTAAAGACACCAAACACTTCCACAAGAACATTAACATAATTCCCACACTTACCTTATTTAAACTAAAAAGGGCCAAAAAGAACAAATTTGTATCAACTTTGTATGAGGAATTACACATTATACACATTACAAAAGTTAAGTGTAATTAAACAAGAGATTTGGGTTCTAAAAGTCTTTGTTTAATCTTGAGGAATGTCTTTGTCTGTGAGCAGAAGGCTGACTAAAGATGTTTTTTTTTCTCTTTTATCTTATCTGCCATGTTCTTTTGAAGTCGGCAGAGAGTGGTTTAGGTTAACTTGTCAACAAGAAGTCTAGGCCAGACTTTTGTCACCGAGTGATTTGAATTGTCCTGGAAATTGAACCCAGACCGTTTTCATGGAATGTTAAAAGGAATGTTTACCTCCAGAATACATGTTACAATATGTTACCAGTTATGTTACAATTGTAATGTAATGTAATGTGTATTTATATAGCGCATTTATTGTGTATGGCCATACACCCAAAGCGCTTAAAGAGAAGCGCTATGAATACTTTCTGGATGCACTGTACCTGAACAACTAGCTCAATGTGCTAAACAATCCATTACAAATACTGAGGTTTTATGTTCAAACCAGTTTAGGGCAAGATTCCTGAGTTGTTGTTGTTTTTTTATATGCTTATTTGACAGTATGCTTGTATTTCTAACACATGCTTTGAATGCACATCAACCTCATCAAGCTCTAAACTGCATTTCAAGCTGTTCATGCTGTGAACTTGCAAAACCTTTCAAACTTTGGTTCAAATCTTCCACACGGTACATCACAGATTTACTTCTCTTCCAGCTTCACACTATTTGCAGCTTATCAGGTTCCACTCTGTGTTTTAAGTTCATCAGGCTCCGCGTTGTATTTCAAACTGACCAGGCTCCATGCTGCATTTGAATTTCACCAGGCTCTGAACTACATTTGAAACTCTCCAGGGTCTGCAACTTGTTTAAGCTTATTTTAATTATTAATTTAATTAATAATTGAAACAGTTAAATATAAACTATTAAAAAAATTAATTAATTGTATAAATTGTGTAATGTTCAACAAGTTTCCTAAAATAATTCAAAACCAAAAATAAGCAAAATATATTCATTATGTGCTTGGCCCCTTAATCACTGATTGCAGCTATATTATTAAATTTGCTGGTTGTAACTGTAGCGGCTACGAGGTGTAACAGCTGAGAGGCTAAACTAGAGACATGATTCGTGACGCAAACATCAAATAAAAACATAAACAAGGGAAGG